TTGGCTCAGTGGGTTAAAGCCTCTGCCTTCGGCTCTGGTCATGATCCCAGGGTCCTGGGATCGAGCCCCACATCGGGCTCTCTGCTCAGGGACGAGCCTACTTCCCCTTCTCTCTCTGCCTGCCTCTCTGCCTACTTGTGATTTCTCTCTCTGTCAAATAAATAAAGAAAATTTAAAAAAAAGAACAAAAACATATACCCCTACTTATACCCTTCATTAATTATCTCCATCACTTACACAGAGGCAATGAACTGAACTCAGTTCACACATGTACTATGTGTCCCTCCCAAGCCAGAGAAACCATGAAACAAAGCAAAGCCTTGAAATATGTATAACTGTATCAGATTTATCTACCTTGAGAACCAAACTTAGCTAAAGCAGTTAACTATAATCTTAATGGATTTAGAAGACTTCCATTAGTAGAGAAGAACTAGAAACTGAAGTAAACCCAGGACAATGGGTTACAAAACCACTTCCCTTTCTAAGTTACAGAGTCTGTTCTAGTAACTTAGGACTTAATGTGTCCCATCGGTGTTTTGGACAAGAATCTCTTCTACCTCTGGCCCAAGAATCTCTTGGTCCATTGCATGGGAAATTTCACAAATTCTGGTTGGGATGATGATTGGTTCCCAGGTGGGTGAGTATATTTTAACCCTGGAAAACTGCAAAACTAAATACATGAAGGATGAAAGTCTAACCCACTATAGTAATAATTATGCTAAAGAATAATTTGTACATATTTGATACTTAAGTATCTAATGTTTGAAAATTTGACCTGTTAGAGAAACAGACTGATTTGTGATCCCAGTTTATAATATGCAATTGTGTAACTGATTTAGATTTGGTTTTACATTGAAATCTGTTTACAAAGAGTTATTCAACAGAATATATTTCCCTCCCCCCCCCCCCCCCATTTTTTTGAAACCTTAAATTCAGGATATTTTATGGCATCTGGAATGGTTTGTCAGAGAATGTTAAAGCAAATATTGTAAGTGTATGAACAGTTTAAAAAAATCTCTATAGAAATTTAAGTTGTAAATTCTACCCCCCCTTCCTTGACTATAACACATTTCCTACATTTACAAGTTGAGTAAGATTGAAAATCAAAATAAAATTTAAGAACGAGGTTTCTCAATTTTGAACTTGGACATATTAATATCTTCAACAACTAAAGTAGCCCTGAAATAATATTTTGCGTGTAGAGAGGTCATCCTCAAGAGAACCTCACATTGACATACAAATCCAGATTTGGATCCTTGCAACATAGTACATGACAAAATTGGGTCAAATTCCTAAATGACAAAAATGTCCTCTCCTTGAGATGATACATGAGTTCTCTAGTTCACCACAATCTTCCCCACTGCTCCCCATCTCACCCCACCCCCACATTGCTTACATTCCTGGTCCTTATAAAGGCATTTCCTGTTTCAACCCAAGCATCTAGAAAAGTGGTTCTCAACCAGGCCCAGTTGGCAAAGTCTAGAGACTTTTTTTTTTTTTTTAAGATTTATTTATTTAGTTGAGAGCGAGAGAGGGAGAAAGATAGCACACAAGTGGGGGAGAGAAGAGGGACAGAAGAGGGACAGAAGAAGAGGGAAAGGAGGAGAAAGAATCCTCAGGCACACTCGCCACTGAGCATGGAGCCCAACATGGGGCTGTATCCCAGGACCCTGAGATCAAGACCTGAACCAAAACCAAGAGTCAGGTACTCAACCAACTGAGCCACTGAGGCATCCTTGGAGACATTTTTGCTACAACTATGCTGTGAAACATCCTACAATATATAGAACAGTACACAGCAACAAAGAATTATCCAATCTAAAATGCCAATAGTGTTAAAGGCCAAGAAATCCTGACCCAGAAGATATCTAAAATCCTTCAACATGGTCCAGAGGCTTTGGGATGACCTCTGTATATTCCAGAGACTAATCCATTGACATTATATGGGTCACATGTATCTTTTTCCTCATTGTTTATATAGTTCTTTTTTAAATCTAAGTTCTTAAATTTTAATGGGTTTCTCTTTCCTTTAAAATTTGTTTTTTATTTCCTTCAAGAAATCCTTCCCTACTTGAGGTTAAAGATACTCTTTTGTTCTTTTCTAAATATCCTATAAGTATTCCACATTTATACCTTCAAACCAACTGGAATTTATGTGCTGGAATTCAGAGATATAATTTTGTTTCCATATGGATAACCCATAATTCTAAGAGCATTTACTGAGTAGTTCATCTTTCTCCACTAATTGGTAACACCAGTTTTGTCATATACTGAATTTCCAGATTTTCTATTTTCTATTTATTCCTGTGATGTCATTATTTTAAGTTATACCTCGATGATGAAACCACTATCTGATTATCATGATTCCCTCCCCAGTCTTCTTTAAATTTACTTTCATCGGGGCTTCTGGGTGGCTCAGTCGTTAAGCATCCGCGTTCCGCTCAGGTCATGATCTCAGGGTCCTAGGACTGAGCCCAGCATGGGGCTCCCTGCTCAGCTGGAAGCCTGCTTCTCCCACTCCCCTTGTTTGTATTCCCTCTCTTTCTGCTTCTCTCTTGTCAATAAATAAATAAAATCTTAAAAATAAAATAAATAAATATACATTTACATATGATTTTCAGTATCAGCGTTCAAATTCAGTATATATCAGCCTTCTTGTAATTTTATTCAAAAGTGTACTGACTTTAAAGATTGGGCAAAGATAATTAATTTTTCTCATTCATGAATATCATATCCCTATCTGGATTGTTCTATGATTTTCAGTAAAGTTTAACAATTTCTCCATAATGATAATGATACACTTATTCCTGTGTGCTGTATATGGTTTACTTTTGAGGTTTTTGTTTTTCTAGTAACCTTTCTTTAGTAGTAACTAGACTTTTATTAATAGTAAATACTAATAAACACTTTTATTATTAGTAATTAGTACTAGTAACTAGTCAGGCAAACTTGCTGAGCTGTCTTAATAACTTGTCTGTAGATTCCCTTGGAATTTTTTACTTAATCATATCACCTGCAACAGTTTCTTCTTCTGCAATACTTACCAATTTTTATCCAGCGTTCTAGTTCTGATCTCTGGTATGGTTTAGAAAAGTGAGTATCTTCATCTTGGTCTTAACTTTAAAAAACATCGCCTCTAATGCTTCACATTTAAACGTGACCTTTTTCTTTTTGGATTTTTGGCATACATTTTCTATTAGGCTAAGAAAGTTTTATTCAATTAGTGATTTTCTAAGTTTTTAACATCTTGAAGTCATTTTATAATGCAAAGCAGGTTTGCTCTTTAAGCATGCCCACCCAGTCTTGAAGGACTTGTTCTTATATCTGGAGATGCAGCTGGAAAGCCTTCCTCCACCTTCGAACCTGCCTCCTTTTTACTGCCAGCCTTGCTCAGCATCTTTCAGGAAATCCATTTACTTTAAATCTCCCTTTGATCAGAGTACCGTTCAGTTTCCAGAGATTAGCCCATTCAGTCACAAAAGATCTTAAGGGCCTTAAAAATTACCTCCAATCATCTCACAGTTTGTAAGAGATAAAAGTCCCTGTCAGAAGCCTGGCTATTAATTGTGGTCAACACATAGAGTCAGAGATAAATCTCCCAAGATTCCTGAAAGGAGGAATGCACATGCCTCAACACTCTTTTCTCTTCAAGCCCTTGTCTAACTCCTTGGTCAACATGGGAATTAGTCCAGCAAAACTATGAACAAAAATGTACCCCACAGCTTCCAAGTGGCTGAAAGAGCTGGAAGAGGGTTTCAGTGTGCATTCTCACACGAGAGAAGGAAATACTTCCAGCAGGGAAAGAGAAGTGTTATCAACTATGATGGGAAACAAAGGTTCAGCAAACCTCATCCCCAGGCCTTATAAAAATGAAATGACATTTCAGTATTGTTTCCCATCTTTTTTTCTATGAGAAAACACAAAATGTTGAACAGTTGGCTTTTCCTTTCTTTTATTCTTTCTGTGTCACAGTTACCGTGGCACACTTTATATTTTAGTCTTTTTTCTCCTTCACAACAATGAAGGGGAGAAACAATTCTTCATACTGCTTTCAAGCCCGGATGCATCAGTATTGTGCTGGGGAAGAAAATGGCTAGGTTCTGGGACAGGTGGGGTTTTTTTTCCCCCTAGTCAAAACACATATGTTGTTGGAGGGTTTCTCAGCCAAAATACAATGTTTGGCTATTTCATCTTGAGCGCTATATATAACTTTCTGAAAATGTCAAAACATCTTATGCAGGTAGAATGACTTGAGTGAATATCTCCCTGGAACCAATTTACCTGTAAAGTCTGAAACCTTTTTGAGTATCCTTTAAACAGCCAACGGTTGCTTGTTGACTAACCAAGCATCACAAAGTATGCCTCTGAGCTTTCACTTTTCTTTTCCAATTGTAAAAAGCTATATATCTATCTTGTACTCTGAAAGTTAAACAGACTTACTACAATATCCCTCACCCCCAAATGTGGTGGCTGGGGTGGGGAATGCATGGGTGAGAAACACTCTTCTGAGGAAGCAAAGAAAAAGGCCAAATCTGCAGTAGGGTACAGTCAAAGCCAATTTTCCAACCTATCTTTATTAAAAGCAGCTGGCTAATGACTTGCAGTAGGAAAGTAACATTATTTATTTAAAAAGCAACTCTCTGTGGCCCTTCCCTTTGGTTATCTTCTAAATTATTTTATGTATTTCCTTTCTTTGGTAAATGTTAGAAGATATTTGTCTTTCTGATTTTTCGCTTTAATAACTTTACTAGGATCAGAAAGAAGTTAGACGGATAGTAAAATGAAAAGTGCTCCTCCACCCATTTTCTAACAAAAACAAAAATATATTAGATAAATTTCAAAACTTCAGTTATGTCAAAAAAAATGTGACTCTTCTGTCCTCTAGTAGCAGGTATAACATCAGAGATCTCCCTCAAATGACATCATAAACACAAATACATTTCCAGTCTCTTCCCACACATTCTCTTCTCCCATGAAACCTCCACACATCTACCACTTACCTCATATTTTATGCTGCATTTTGGAAAACTGCTTGACACACAAACCTGTTTTGAGGACTGCAAAGCTGTGGGTCAGTTATGTCACCTTTCTTGTTTTCCTAATAGCTGCAGGGTACAGTAGTACCTCTCTTTAGCCACACTTAGAGCTGTCCTGCAGAGAAATTCAAGATAATCCCCTTTATTTTGTTGATTTTAACAAGGAACCCCCAAATTTTATGCAACATGTAATGGGCTTGAAACCAGCAGGATGTGAATTTAGAATTCTTGTTTCAGAGATAGAACAAATCCTTCCCAGTACCTCCTTTCTGCTCATCCTCTTCCCTTCTTTTCCCCACCCCTTCCTTGTTCCAGCGCCAGAATAACAGGGGAGAATTATAATACTTCAAGGTTTATCATATTCCGTTAAATACAGCAAATACAGAAACCTGTTGTTGGAAAGTTCCTGACCCAAAGGGAAACCTACGATATCCACTATTTTTGCAACCGTGAAAACTTTCAATTTTGAGAATAGTGAAAACACAGCAGTGGGAGTCTTCCTTACCCCTTATATTGTTCAGCGCTACCCGCTAACTCGGATACCAGCTCAGCTGCGGCGGGTAACCACCAGGCCGAGCCCGCCCCAAACCAGCTAACAACCCCCGGGAGCGCGCCACAGAAACTCCTTCCTCCCCTCCTCTGCCTGGAGGCGCGGCCCCACTTGGAGGAGGAGCGCCACGCCCCCACGAGGGGGTGGGACTACGTCCCAGCCACCTCCTCCCCAGGGGCGGGGGAAGGGTGCGGGCCCCGCGTGACGTAGTTCAGAAAGCCCGCCCTGGTTGGAGGGAATTTAGAAGGAACGTGGGCGGGGAAGTGGGCGGAGTCTAGTTTCCCTGGTGACGGGTTGCCCGGCGGTCGCCTGGTAACCGGTCGCGGCGGTCCTGGCTGCGGCAGCTCAGGCGGCGAAGGCCGCCGAGGACTGTAGGCCGGAGCCCACGCCGGGCGCTTTCTGCCTGTTTTGTGATGGCGGCCGCCGCGGCAGTGGTCACGCCATCAGGTTTGGAAGATGGAGTGTCTCGGTCCCGCGGCGAAGGGGCAGGGGAGGTGGTCGTGGAGCGGGGGCCCGGCGCGGCCTACCACATGTTCGTGGTGATGGAGGACCTGGTGGAGAAGCTGAAGCTGCTCCACTACGAGGAGGACCTCCTCCGGAAGAACAACCTGAAGCCCCCGTCCAGGTGGGTGCCCTCGTCCTCCAGCGCCTGGGTGCCGGCCAGACCCCGGGGAGATGCCTCCTCCGGCCTCCTGGGGAACCTTGAACGCGAGTTAGCGCTTGCCTCCATCTTCGTAGCCAGGAAAGGGCACTGCACCCCAAACTTGGCGACAGAGGCCTCGGAGCTCACCGAGTTTAGCTTTGGTATTTTTTTAGAGAGTAAAGTTTCAGAATCGCTGAAAGAACCGGAAGACGGCTTGGCTTTCTTAGTCTTTAAAGCACACACACCCCTCCACAAAACACAAACTGTTTTTTTCTGATTATAAAAGTTATAAAAGTACCTGTTGTAGAGGACTCAGAAAAACACAAGGAAGTGCGTAGAAAATACTGATATGACCCATAATCTCATCCCCAAAGATGAATACTGTTACCATTTTAGCTCTATTTCTAGCTTTTGTTTTCCTTTGCGATAATTTGTCCCTACAACTGGTAACTCTGGGTACCTAGGACCTTGCTTGACTTTATATGAAGTTAGTAAACTTGTTGACTAATTGCTGTGTTTTAAAAGACTTCTACCTTTGTGATAACAGTACTTTCAGAAGCTAAGAAGTGGAAAAGACAAAATGACAACTGAAAGAACTGTGTCTATCATACAACCTAAAGTTCTGCCTTTGTTCTGGTCGGGAAAAGTGCCATTAGTTGTCGAGGGTTATGCACAGCTAGCACTTTTTCTCACAATCAGTGTAGCTTAGTGACAGATAAATAAGTTAATACTTAACGTTGTTTATTGTGTAAAATGCAACTTAGATTAAAAATCTGTAATATTTTTGGGGCGCCTGGGTGGCTCAGTGGGTTAAAGCCTCTGCCTTCAACTCAGGTCATGATCCCAGGGTCCTGGAATCGAGCTCCGCATGGGGCTCTCCGCTCGGCGGGGAGCCTGCTTCCCTTCCTCTCTCTCTGCCTGCCTCTCTGCCTACTCGTGATCTCTGTCAAATAAATAAATAAAATCTTTAAAAAAAAAATCTGTAATACTTTCTTTTAATGGCTGTACCTTGGCTTAAATAATTTCCCTCGACAGTTTTGATTTCATTCCTTGCTCTCTTCCAATAACTTGAATTTTAGGATATGTAGGCTCTATGTAAACTGCCCATACTGCTAAGCCAGTCCAGAGTAGGAGAAAATAGTTAGAGGAAAAGGCAGTGTTGCTTGATCTATGATAGGAATTTGGGGATTGGGAGTTATTACTTCAATGAATCAATCAGGATAATATAAACAACCAACATTTTCTATGATAAAAATGCATTTTTGTTCCCAAGTGTATTTTCAGACTAAAAGAAAATGGCCTAAAGTTTCTACTGGTATAACTTCTGTGCTATAATCCAGGATATTTTAAATCATGGATTTGTGTGGCAAATTTAATGGTTCCCAGACTGTGGTTGTCAGATGAGCAGTAGCATGGCTTGAGAATTTATTAAAAATGCAAGGCCACAGTCCCTTTCCAGGTATACTGCATTAGAAATTCTAGGGGTGGAGCCTAGAAGTCTATTTAACAAGCCTTTCTGGTGATTCTGATGCATGCTCAAGTTGGAGAACCACTGCCCTGTGTCTGGAGGATCTGTCAGTATTCAGTCCTCTGTTCTGGAGTTGGTAACAGCCTGGAAAAAAAAAGATGAGTTTTCAGCAGTGGGTACTTTGAAAGCGTTGTGCACATATGCCTGGAAGGACTTCCTGACCTTTTTCTTCCCAGCTACCTGTTATCTTTTAGAACATTTGCACTACCCTGCAGGAAAAAGTTTGGGAAACATGAAAGAGTAGACTGCTGATTTTTATGAAAAATAGTTATAATAGCCATAAATAAAATTATAAATGGCACAAAAAATTAATAATTGCACATAAAACAAAATCAGATCTTTGATCAAACCGACTTGAATATTGTTGGCAAGTTTTATTCTTAACCTATTTAAGTATAAATCGTACATTGATCTTTGTAGGACTATTTGCCTCCTGGCTAGGGGATTGAGCAAAAGTCAACAAATGTTTGTTAGACTGTGGATGTGATACTCAGTGGTTCTTAATCCTGGTACCTTAAAACCATCTAGGTAGCTTTTGAAACATACTTGTACTGGGGCTTTACCCCCAGAAGTTCTGATTTAATTTGTAAGGGAAGAAGCAATGTTTTGTCCAGTAGCAATAGTTCAACGAGCTTCTCGGGTATTTCAAATATGCAGCCAAGATGAGAACAACTGTTTAACATAACTAATGTGTAAGGAACAGTATGTAAAGATACCAGTGATGTTGTAAAAATGCATAGTAATTAATCATTAGAGTCTTTTTTTTCAAAGTCTGAAATTCTCTTAATTCCCAGTTACCATTTTCAAGAGGTACTCTTATTCATTATTCCTGACATGTAGATAATACTGGCAAAAGTTGTACATGATCGATCAGTTTTTTAACATGCCCTGCATTTACTGGGTGTTAAGATCTTTGATCTAATATTTTGTGTATAGTAGTAATTGCTCTAGTTCTATTGATTAAAAACTTGAATATGAGTGTTGTGGATTACCAGAAACTTCAGAGTGAATTATAAATGTCTTTTGATTTTAAAGCCATTAAAAAAAATGTTCTTTAGCAATTTTGAACTTAGTCCATTTAGTTGCTATAGACTTGTTTGCAATATGTCATATTCCATCCTCCCCACCTTGTTTTGAAACAGACACTATTTTGCACTGCCTACCAACCCTGGTGAACAGTTCTACATGTTTTGCACTCTTGCTGCTTGGCTGATTAACAAAGCAGGACGCCCCTTTGAGCAACCTCAAGAATATGATGACCCTAATGCAACTATATCTAACATATTATCTGAGCTTCGATCACTTGTAAGTGTAAACAACTCTCTTCTTTCAGAATGTTGTCAAGCTTTGAATTTTAATATTGGTTATTCAGTGTAGATGCTACCCTTCTAGATTAATTTTCTGTGAATAACTATGTCTATTCACACACATACATATATAAAATTATATCTGGATTTTTCAGATAAAACCTCAGAATGTTTGGTATTATAATATTAATGCTACTTCTAAAAATGTTCAATGTACTCTTTATAGCTGAAAGTAATAATACTTTTTCTTAATCTTGTTATGTCTCAGAAGTATATTATTTGGATACTTAGTTTTCCTTCTAAAAAATGCTAGTAGGAAGTTGAAACACTGTATTTTGAAAGGGAGCTTTGATTTAATAGACCATGATAGCAGTTGTACTTTTCATTTCTGACTTTTCCTGAGGGACAGGCAGTAAGAATTTTTGGCACACATGTTATTAACTTTTGACAAGTGATTCACTCTGTCCTTCCTATGATTGTTTAACAGTAGGATACCGAGGCAGTAGTGGTCTTTTTTCACCCTAACAGGATCAATTACTTGTTCTATCATGAGGTTATTGCCTTTCAATTTGATACCTTTGACAATAAAATGTCTTCATTTTCCTGTAGTTTTTATGTATCAATGGACTAAAAAGATGGATTTCTAAGAAGCAATATAATAACAGTTATTTTAAATCCTATTTGAAAAGTAGAGAAGTGATACATTTATTCAGTAGTACTTTGCTTAAAATATTTTGACATTTGGAATATAAATAACAAGTAATACCCTGTTTTTCTTTTGTATTTCAGGGCAGAACTGCAGATTTTCCTCCTTCAAAATTAAAGTCAGGTTATGGAGAACATGTATGCTATGTTCTTGACTGTTTAGCAGAAGAAGCATTAAAATATATTGGTTTCACCTGGAAAAGGTAAACATTACCTAACCTGGCAATAGTACTTTTATGTGGATAGCTTTTTCCCCCATGGGTTCAGAGCTATTTAATTGAACTGACAAGAAGCATTTCCTCTTGACTATTCTAAACGGAAAATGCCACAGGTGATTAGAAATGTCTGCATAGACAAAATTGGAATATCTGGTATATTCACAACCAGTTCTGATTTTATCATGCCCCTTCCCAATTCAAATATATAATTATTAAAGGTTTAACTGAGTATCTTCGTCAATGTAGGAAATTTTTTCAAAGTCTACTTATACACACAAAGATAGTTATACATGGGGGTAATTGATAGCTGCAGATTTAAGGAAAAAATGGAAATTAATATACTTTAAATGGGATTTTTCTCTTTTGCTTATAGATACTGGGCAAGAATAATAGCCACCTGAAGAATCCACCTGACACTCTCTTAGGCACTATACATTGCTTCTTTGTCTGACTTGAGAGTGATCTGTTTATAATTCTGTGCTTGTATTTATCCCATGGTATTGAAATCGTTTTTTACAGGTTTGGCTTTCTTGCAAGAAACTATGAACTCTTCATATGTACTCAAAATATGGCAGTTAGCATAGCACTTTGTATATCATAGATGCTCAATAAATGTTAATCACA